CGTTCAATAATGTCAGTTTTAAACGTCAAAATGGAATAAAAGTATTTTATCCAACACATGACAGTTATGACTGTTATTATTAATGTCATTTTAGACAAGTAATCTATCAAATAACACACTAGTGTGTTATAATTCATAACTCACTAGTGAGTTATGGATTATAACTCACGTTCATATTTAAAGTAGTGTTCTATTTATTTATTACTATTACAAGCAGAATTCACATTGATATTAGAGACTTTTTGCACCTCTTATTTTGCCATTCCGTTGTCGTTATCGTTATACTGAGTATGCGCAGTAGCTAAAAAATCTTCGTAGACTTTGGCTATACCTATGGTGATGATAAAACTGTGTGGATGCCATATTGAAGAAAATTGAATAGATTTCATCCCGTTTTAATAAATAATTAATTAAAGTCATCTGAAATTCTGAAAAACTAAGTGTGGATTATCATTTTGATGTTATGAAATTGGTTTACATCCGAAGGTGCAGACACAGTTCATAGCCCAGAGCCAAAATAGAAATAACGGAAATATGTAAACGTTAGGCGATGCAAAATCTCTGATTTTGAAGGTCGTGGTAATCCTTATCTGATCCAAAAACTGCTGTTATTTTAAGGGGTGCAAACAGTCTCTATTGAAATTAAAGGAAATTAAAGATTAACAGTTTATTCGAATTTAAAATCATTCTATTCGTTGGCGTTGGTTCATTGGAACCAGACGCTCCCATATCGGTATACAGTTGCTGATAGTGCTGGAAGACGCCGACGCATAGAAACTCATATTTTTTTTTGTATTATCTAATAAAAAAACGATTTTTTCTACTTGTTGGATAAAACTTTGTATGCCACTCGTGTGTTAAGTTTCCTAAGTCACTTGAGAATTTATACCACTCGGCCTGACGGCCTCGTGGTATAAATCTTTCTCGCGTGACTTATTTTCAACATAACACACTAGTACCATAAATAACTATTAGAGCCCTATTATTGTAGCTCCAAAGTTTCCTAAATTAGTTTAAAAGGGTTCTGAAATGTTTACACTTCTAAATTGAATCTTTATTGTTCTGAAATAACTCTGAAGTTTCCAAATTGTTCCAAAATGCTCCTGAAAATTCTGATTTGGAATTGAACTGTTTTGGATGCTTATTAAAGATTTAAAGTTCTACAAAAATTCAAATTCTGAAATGCGTTTTATAACTCTTAACCTGATTCCTAAAGGTTCTGGCACTCTTCAAAATGTTTCTGGAGATTCTAGAGTGTTTTGGAAATTGTAAATTGGTTTTTGAATGTTTTGGAACATTCTAAAATGGTTCTGAAGTTTACAAATTGTTCTGAAGCGCTGCAGAATGCTTTTGGAACTTCTGAGTTGAATTTTAAGTGTTTTGAACTTTCCAAAAGGCATAGGTACTCATTTACTTTCAGATCAGAATCGTATGTACAGGGTATTTGATTATATTTAAGTCCATACCAAAAAAATTAAATACAAAACTCAGACAGTTTTTCTCTATATTTTCTTTTAACGTTATCAGAAAAAACAAAATCGGAAAATGGAGAAATATTCGGTAGGTCTAAGAATCGGTCGTAATCTGTTTTTTATACCCCTAAAGTGATAAGGGTGGACCACCACAAAATTTTAATTTTTATTTTTTGGACAACATTTTTTATTTTTGTTTTTTTCAATATATCGAGTTAATGATCTACTAATAAAGCTGAAAATGTTTTAATCGATCTGAAATCCTACCGGATTGAGAATAGAACGTTGGAAAATTTGAATGCTAAATTGACAAAAGAATTTTGAAGAGTTAAAATTAAACACAAACCACCCTATAACGTTAAGTATGGGTATCGAATGAATACTTGAACTAAATGTATCAGATACTTTGGCACTTATGTGTTGAGATTGTTGGGAATTTAGGCATTCCAAGGACCTGTAAAAAAGTGCGTTGTGAGCGGAAGTTCATTAACCTGTATATGAAAGATCTGTGTATATAAGAGTATGGAATTTGAAGCTTTTTAAAGTGCATTTTGTGGTTGTTTTGTGAATGAACTCTGTATATTCTTCAATTTTACTGACTTCATTAGTGTTTCTTCCAATTAAAAATGTCACAAACGTGTCTTGTAGTTGATTGTGGAAGTAGTTTCAACAAGGTAACAAGTATTTCCGGTTTTTTTTCAGTGAAACGGTTAATGGAATGGAACTCCATCACTCATTACTATCTAATTCATTGATTATTAAACTCAAGCATGATTTTGGTGAAATAAAAAATGTCTAATTTAAGTGATAACATTGTTTATAGATATAAACTGCTGGAAATTCGATACGCATAAAGAAATTTTTTGCTTATTTTTGAAGTCAAATATCTTAGAAAGTATAAAAGATATTTGATTACGGTTTGAAGCATATTGGGGCGCATTGCTTGGTATTCAAGGTATATGGTATCGTGCTGATAAACAGAAACGTTATCTTCAACATACAGGGTGGACAATAAAACAGTGTAAAGTTTGACAAATTTCAGGGCGTAGCCATTTTTTTCCTGCTTTTTTTCTGGGTTTAAGAAGAATCAGTAGTTCAATGGTGAAAAACAACTTGAAGGGTTTTTGAATAAATCTCGTAGTTTTGCAGAAATTTCAGTTTAACTGAAAAACGACTTTCATCACCCTGATTATCTTTATCTCAGTTACTCAAAACAATTTTTTTCATTATTTATGGTTCAACGTTTTCGTCTTTTTTTGTTTTAAGAAGATTGTATACAGGGAGATGTTGTACCCATACTTATACAAGGTGGTCCATTTAAATTGAGACATTTCAATATCTCGAAAATGGCGCGTTTTTGAAAAAAAAAAAGTTCAATGATGTCTTTAGTTCAATGGCCCACCCTGTATACCTATTGTATATCGTGTGCTAGAAACTTAAAATTACCAATTTTTCATTGAATATGAAAATTTTGCGACTAAATAAAAGAAAAAGTAAAGTTTTTTTTTTTTTTATTGAAGATAATTTAATTCTCCAAGTCAAAAATTTAGTAACTATGTTGGCAATACAAGCCTTCTCTACGTAAAAAATTTGAAAGCATCGACAATTTAATATTGTTTTGCCAACATAATGTCATTTTGACTTTTATCTTTAAAAAAAAAACAGACTTTAAAAATTCCGCGCTTTTGCGAACGAGAATAGAAAATTTCCTCAAAAAGGCAAAAAGGGGATAATTCCGTCAAGCTGGCAACACTGTGGCTGGCTCGTTATCAAACGCAAAGATATCAACAAAGCATTTGAAAGGTTGGATATAGGCCCCGCCCCTTTCCAATCAGATGCGAATGATATCAGCAGGGCATTTAATTGGTTAGTTGAGTCCCGCCCCTTTCCGGGATTTGTGTATCGTCAAGGTATTTGATTGGTTGTTTCCTTTTCAACCCTTTCCAATGGCCCCGGCCCACCTACAGTGACTTCACCTTTTCAAATAGAAATTCGGTACCGGCGCCATATTCTTGCAAATTTTGAATATGAATAAAAAGCCACGCCCCTGCCACCATATTTTTGCAAATTTTTTGATGTTTACTCAGGTATTATTATTAAATATTATTATTATCTAAATATATATTTATTTATTCTTTATTTTTAAATTTTTCCATCTCATATTTTGTCCATTCCCGGAACTTGAATTTTCTTCCTTGAACTGACATTTCTCCATGTAAAAATGTCATTTTAGGGAATTCTTATCGTTAAGGGCTCCCCTAAAATAGTTGAGGTTTATAATGCTTGATGCGTGAGGTATATAATGACTTTCTCTACCGGGAAAGAGATTTTTTTTCACTACTGCTAGGGCCGGTTTCTCAATAGCGAGTCACTCCCGGGTTGGTTTTAACTCCAGGGTTAACGTGTCAAATTGCAATGTTTACCTTGGAGTTAGCTTAACCCGGAGGTGATCTGCTCAATAAAAACATGACAATATCCTTGCGTCATGACGTCATTTTCATTATTAACCTAGGTATTTTTTCATTATTTTCATTATTAATCTAGGGAGAGAAATTCAATTTTTTCCTAGAAAAATAGATTGAATAATGACTATTTCTCAGGTTAGTACATAGTGAAAAAAATGTTTATCCAAAACCATATTTGCTTTTAATAGAGTCAGTTAATCAGTAGGTACCTACCTCCAATATTACCACCATACAAGTTTTTCGCCATCATCTTAGGGCTTATTCAATTCAATATTGTTATTGGATGTTCAATAAGTATTTGAAAGCCTTGAGAAATATTGGGTTTTCAGTAAAACGCACGTATCACAGTGCCAGAGAAGAAAATTGCGCTTGGTTTCGTCCTTAGAAAATTGTATAATTTTCATAGATTCAATATTTGTATTCAAGGAAACAGGCGACAATAATAGATCTCTTGGAAGGTTTAAGCCAGAGATTTATCTCATTTTCATACCTTATTGCTTAGAATAGGACATTTCAAGTAATTTTCCAGAGCGAAATTTATTCATCAATTTTTCATGCCTCAAAAAATTCAGATTACGTTTTGGTAAATTGATGCAATATTTCGTTTTCCAATCATGATTTCCTTTGCTTTATTATCGCGTTTCCGCCTATACCCATTCCTATTAAAAAGGAAATTCTCATGCGGATTTCTTTCTTTCAAGTGCTTCTTCACAAAAATTATCCACTAAGCAATTTCCTTTGAATTCCATAGGTACTTACTCGAGAATATGAAAGACGTAAACAAGACTATATTATATTGATTGGTATAAATTTGCAAATATACTGAGGGTCTCAAATAATCCATTATTTTGTAACTAAAAATATCTTTCCAAGAGCCTGGAAGGAATTGACAAAGTTTATTCGAGTTTAGAATTCAATTTTGCAGATATTTTTAGACAATAAAAACCCAAATATTTGTTCTTCTAATTATATCAAGTGAAGAATCCAAACCTTGCAAGAAACATCTATTTTTAGCCAGACAAATTTATCATGTTCCAGGACTAAATAAAAACTTTACTTTTAGATTAATCCAGATTACACAATACCGACTCTAGTAGATGAAGATTTTATTAGTTGGGACACTCATGCTATTTTAAGCCATTTAGTGGACAAATACAGTAGCAGTGATGCTTTGTACCCAAAAGAATCAAAAGATCAAGTGGCTCAAAAACTGATGTTCGAATCTGATACTCTTAGACCAAGAGTTGATAGCATAATTGTAAGTAATTTTGTCTATATATATATTTAAATCTCATTAATTATTATTGTAGCAAGCAACAGTAGTAGAAAACGAAAAAGAAATCCCAACAGAAAAAATAAGTGCAATTACCGAAGCCTACAAACAGCTAAATAATTTTCTGGAAAACAAAAATTACTTAACAGGCGACAGCTTAACGATAGCCGATTTGTGTTGCGTTGCCACAGTCAGTACCGCCACGGTTATAACTCCGATTTCAACTGAAAAGTACCCGAATTTGTCGCAGTGGTACCGCACCTGCAAAAATCTGGATTACTACGAAGAGGCCAACGGTGTGGGGCTGAACAAGCTGGACGCTTTGGTAGAACAGAAACTGGGCAGGCCTCGAATAAAGGAGCTTTGCGAGTAGCCCTAATTTTGTTTTTGTGAATATTTTTGTGATACTCTTTATACTACATTTTTTTGTTTTCTTTAGTTTGGATGCATATCTAAATAAACGCACAAATTCTGGTCTTATTATGGGTATTTTTATTATTGGACAAAAATCTTTAAGGATTCTATATCTGAGCCTCAGATTTAAGTACTTCTGATCTGTTTCATTTGGAGATTAAAGTTCATTTCACGAGACGGAGATAGTGGAAGTAGACAAACTTTGACAGGTAAGTCGAATTTTATTGGCGAGAAAAGGTCTTAGGTTGTTTTGTATTTCTATTCTCTGAATATTTCTTTTTTTTTTCGATTTTCCAATTTCAAAATATATGGATTTTCTTGTACAGGGTGTTTTTTTATATATTGATACCCCACCTACAGCCTTTACCTTTACAGGTAGATGAAAAGTGTAAATACAAAAGTTGTGCAGTATTGACTAAATTTTTAGAATTCATGGTCAGAAATAAAAATTGAATGTCAGAAATGTGAGATATTGCATTCTTTCAGCTGTTTTCAAATGGTATGCGCTATATTTGGTTCTATATATTCTTGAAGTGCATGACAGATTGCTCAATCAAATATAGATAGGAACATTGAAGAAGAATATAGAATGAAATATAGGGAAAAAAAGGTGGAAGCATGCAAAATTTCACATTTCTGACATTCGAAATTTTGTTTCTGACCATGATTTTTGAAAATTCAGTTAAAACTGTAAAACTTTTGTATTTACACTTTTCTTCTACCCGTAAAGGTAAAGGCTGTAGGTCTGTCCATATATGAAAATACACCCTGTAGGTACCTACCTCAGACCTACCAATAATTGGATTATTGTGGAACTTATGGATGGAGCTCTGCGGGACGAGCGCAGCGAGTTCCGCAGCCATCAATTCACCAATATACTGTTGAACTGTTCAAGTATAAGGCAACTCACATTTGAGTGAATCAGGTTAGTATCGTAATTAAACAACTTATTGATGAATAGATGGCTGCGGAACTCGCTGCGCTCGTCCCGCAGAGGTCCACCCATAAGTTCCGCAACAATCCACCTGTTTGTACTTGAATAATACTTGTCACAATATATTACTAGTTTGGTAAAGTAACATTTACTAATTCCTGTTAAAAGGCAAATTGACAAAAAGTGGATAATATTACAAATTTTGACTTTATATAATAAGTTATTGTTTAATTACAAATAAGTGGATTATTGTTGCGGAACTTATGGGTGGACCTCTGCGGGACGAGCGCAGCGAGTTCCGCAGCCGTCTATTCACCAATATACTGTTGAACTATTCAAGTATAAGGCAACTCACATTTGAGTGAGTCAGGTTAGTATCGTAATTAAACAACTTATTGATGAATAGATGGCTGCGGAACTCGCTGCGCTCGTCCCGCAGAGGTCCACCCATAACTGGCCGAGCAAAAGGATTATAGATTGCGTTTTTATCCGGCAGATAATCCTGATAGTTTATCAGAGGGTGAATAAACCGGGTCTTAGTTTCTCCCTTTATATTAATCTTATATGACAAATGTTATAGATCAGGACTAAACATCTATCTACTACAACTGAATGTTGGTACCTATTTCCAATGTTCCTGCTATGTATGAACTAAGCAGGCGATTTCTAAACACCGGAATATCTCTGGAAATTCAATGGTCGCTAATTAGCGGATTAAAGCACATTTGAAGTATTAGTGAAGCACTAACCATCTATCTACAACTAAATGTTGGACGTTCGTGCTTCCAATGTTCCTGCTACGTGTGAACTAAGAAGGCGATTTCTAGAAACTGGAATATCTCAAGAAAATTCAAGGTTTGCTAATTTGGGAATTGAAGCACTAACGAAGTACTAACTATTTATCTGTAACTGAACGTTGGTGCTTTCCTTATTGTTCCTGTTGGGTGTGAAGTAAGCAGGCGATTTCAAAAAACCGATATATCTCCAAAAATACAAAGATAGGTTATTTGAGGATTGAAGCATATTGAAGCACTTACGAAAGCGCTAAGCAATAACGTAAAATTTAATTTTTGTGCTTCAAGTGTGCCTGCCTACTTCATAGAGTCCAATTCAATAGAGATTCACTGTGCATAATGCATGTTGATATAATATGGTTCAAGATTTCTATCAGATATTAGAATCGGATATGACATGTTAGAAATAGAATTTTTACAGAACATAGAACACAATACACATTCCAACATACTAAATAGCAGGAAAATTAGCTGAATATTGATATTGTGCCGAGTTCTTCGAGCAACTCGATTTTGATAGGAAAGTAGACAAAGAGCATTTCGTATCAGAATCTATTGACCCTATCAGTAAAGGAAAATTGTCTTGTGAAGAAATCCACAAAGCAAGTTTTTAGTGCCTAAGGATAAATTAAGAAAATATGATATAGGAAGATGTTATTGCTTACAGCTTACAGATCTGAAAGAAATCACACTTAAAGGTGTAGAAAATCATTAGCTCATGAAACAGATAATTGTCTGAATTTCCTGGAAGTTAGAAGCAGCTATCAGCAATTGTCAGCTTACTGGAATATAAATGAGAATTTGAGCTATGAAGATGTCTCCGTTCAAAGAAAGACAACTCGTAATTTCAAAAGAAACCGACATGTGGCATTACTGGTATTGTAGTCTTCAAGGTATTGAACATTGAGACCTAAACTTGTGAGTTATGTGAAATTTCTTTCTAAAAGGAGACCACGATGTTTAAGTTTTCAACATCATGTGCATTTTAAGTGTTTCTGCTGATTTATTAAGCTGTTGCGGAAAGTTGATCGTTTATCATCAAATCGTTTGCCAATAGTCAGCAATTCAATGACCATAATGGAACAATTATTATTGGCAAATAGGTATTGGTTTCCCTGTAAGAATGAGGACAATGGACTTCAATAGTTTGTAAGTTTGGATAATGCCAGAGCTAGATGTGTCTTACAATCCACCCGTTTGTACTTGAATAACTTGTCACAATATATTACTAGTTTAATAAAGTAATATCACTCATTCTTGTTGAAAGGCAAATTGACAAAAAGTGGATAATTTTACAAATTTTGACTTTATAATACAAATAAGTGGATTATTGCGGAACTTGTGGGTGGACCTCTGCGGGACGAGCGCAGCGAGTTCCGCAGCCATCTTTTCATCAATATACTGTTGAACTGTACAAGTAAGGCAACTCACATTTGAGTGAGTCAGGCTAGTATCGTAATTAAACAACATATTGATGAATAGATGACTGCGGAACTCGCTGCGCTCGTCCCGCAGAAGTCCACCCATAAGTTCCGCAACAATTCACCCGTTTAATTGTACTTGAATAACTTGTCACACTAGTTTGGTAAAGTAACATTACTAGTTCCTGTTAAAAGGAAAATTGACAAAAAGTGGATAATCTTACAAATTCTGACTTTATACACGAAAAACTTTCCAGCCAGATTTTCTCAGGTGTTAGATGTTTAATCAAAAATCACTTGGACACGTCAATTTTTGTTTTTTGGGGGACAATTTTTTTTTGGTATTTTTGCCCACTAGGTACTTGTCAACCCCTAAATGGGGGCGACAGATACCCTCAAAATTTTAATAGGAAAGGGGGGTCGAGTGATACGTCATTTGGTAGATATTTTTATTAAGATTTTATTCCCCAAGTTTTAAGTTGCTACTATTTACCCTGCCGAAATGATGGCTTGTCAAAGTTAGGAAAAATGCTTCTGTGTGGTTTTCACCATTTAATAACAGAACACAGAACAAAAGATTTTCAAGGGTATCTATCCATATAGTAATTAAATACCATTGGTATTTAATTGAAGTATGTATTGTCATTCAACAGTTCAGCTTAAAATGGTTCGTTTTTATTCACTCGAAAAATCTCTTGTGTTATTATGGGGTGAAAAACACACAACTTTGATAAGCTGTCATTTCGACAGGGTAAATAGTAGCAACTTGAAACTTTAGGAATACAATCTTAATAAAAATAGCTATCAAATGGCGTATCACTCGACCCCCCTTTCCTATTGAAATTTTGGGGGTACCTGTCACCCCCATCTAAAGGTTGACAGGAAGGGGGTGAAAATACCAATAAAAGATGTCCCCCGAAAAACAAAAAATTACGTGTCCGAGCGATTTTCTATTAATAACCTAACACCTGAGAAAACCTGGTCGGGAAGTTTTTTGTGCCCCACCCTGTATAATAAGTTATTGTAGACTCAGAGTGTAAAAGTCCTACGACTCTCACTTAAATACGGGTTGAATCAAATAGCTGAAATGAAATATGGCTCTGGTTTTGAACCAAAGTATCTACATATATACACAAAAGCAGAATTTGTTAGGATCCACACGCGAATGTGACGTCACGTCTACGTTTTGTTGTGAACACTAAAGACTGATATCTTTTGATAGAAATCCGGTAGAAAGGCAAGGTTTTCGATGTTGTTTTTGGATACGACACCAAAACCTGTTGACTCGTATGACAACCTAACAATCCTTCTCTGGATTTTTACGCTCCGCCTGTTTATTTACCTCTACTATCTTGTTTCGTGAAATAAACTTTACTTTAATATATTTTATTTACAATCTGTAGTCCAACGGTACAGGTAAATTTATTACCTCTGTCCCTATCAAATAGCATTGTGATAAATTTTACTTGTACCTTTGGACTACAGATTACAGATTGTGAATAGACTATTATAGATCCCTTCCAATTCTTTCCTGAATCTAAATTTTCAAACAACTCATTCATTTATTTCAACAGACACAAAATAGCCATAAAGGTTGATGACCCCCTGAGGCAAAATCCCCAACAAATCCATCAGTCGCTGGATTATTCTGAGGGTAATTTATCGTAGAAACAGGTTTTTGAACGCTGACGTAATTGGGGGAAAATGAGGGTGAAACTTAAATTCCTTAAAACGTAGAAAGGACTAAAGTTAAGGTAACTACTTTAGTTAGAATAAGGTAAAATTCAACTTAAATGCAGGTACAAAATAAAAAAACAACTTTATTATAATTTAGAAGATAAATTTGTCATAAGTTCCCTAAACAACTGACTGCCCTTCTCGTTGATACTGTAATAAGGCAATTGCTTCATTTTCTCATTCCAAGCTGTTATTTTGGGATGTTTTTTCGCGTCCACCGGACAAAAAACTTCAGCATTGCTTAAGGTAGCAACAATACTAAAGTCAGCTATAGTCAGTTGCTCTCCAGCTACAAAAATCCGTTTTTGCAAAATCAACTCCAACAAGTCGTAAACCTCAGCCAGTTCTATTTTCATTTGGTTAAAGTCGGCTGATTTGTCTTGCATGAAAATAGCATTCTAAAAAACAATTTTATGAAAATCAAGCATTAAAGTAAAAAAAATAAAATAATTACATTAATTCTTCCTACTCTTGCAAATAAATATCCAGTATCAAAGTGTGCCATGGAATCGACAAGGGCCCTTTTTTGCGGATCTTTCGGATACAAAGCATCGTTATCGGCATATTTGTTTACCAAATAAGCATTGATAGCGTGGCTGTCGTACAAGATAAAATTCCCGTCTTCCAGCATTGGAACTGTGTGCAGAGGATTTTTCTGAAAGTCACCAATTTATCAAGAATTTTTAAAGTTTGTGTTCGTATTTTTTACCTCGACATATTCGGGTTTCAAATGGTCCAAGGCTACCAGATTTACGTTGATTATTTGAATTTTGTCTTTCAATCCTAGAGCTCGTAGAGTGAGGATTGAAGCTCTAGCTGCGGGACTTCCCAGTGTAGAGTAGAGTTTTAAAGCCATTTCTATTGTGGTTTATTAATAAAATCGGTATAAGCAACACAAGAAACTAGAAATAAAATGATTACCTATATTAAAAATTATTTTGTACTAGAAAGTATTTATTGCGTTTGCCAGCACTACAAAATGATTACAAAGATTTGTACCCGGGTTTTGTACAATTTTAAAAGCAGCCCAATCTTGTTTTGATGCAATTAAATATTAAATAAACGAGTTTGTTTTTCAAGATTACAAGCATTTGAACATTGCACTTTGGGCAAGCAACGTTGTCGTTTCTAGCTAAAATTATTGAAACGTGAAATCCCAGTTTTCCGCATTAGTGGGAACAAATATTAGTGCGGAAAAGCGGCTCTTTCCGAACTAGTTACTTTGATAATATATGCTATGAAAAATCATCAGCAAATTTAATAAATGATATTATTGTAAATAGGGCTTTATTGTTTATATATTGTTTTTTTTCCTGTATTTGTCTGTTTAGCGCAAGTTCAAATTATCATTAAAAAAGCCGCCTTTTTTCCACTGTCGGTAACGAAGAAACTTGCATTCAAACAATGTTCACTCTGTTATGGCGTTTTCCATTTGTCGAACCAGTGCAAAAAAAAAAATGTATCTTTATCCTTACATGTTAGATGCTTTTAGAAAAAGATGCGGATAAACTCAGTGCGCACTGATTGACAAATGGAAATCGCCATTAATTGCTGTCCGTAATCACCGGCGGCGCTCAGAAAACCTCGTGGGTACAGTGACTCTATAACCCACAGTGGCGACAATTGCTGTCTCATTTTTGATTGGTTCTAAAATCCCATATATTTATATTGAAAACACCGCCATCTTGTTCCCAACCCCTTGTTACTTTTAAATATGAATATATGGGATTTAGGTGAACATCCATCATAAATCATGGAAAACAACGTATTTGATGGACCTAATAATGGTCATCAAATACGTCGATTTCAATTTTTTATGATAGATGTCCATTTAAATCCTATATATTAATATTTAAAAGTAACAAGAGGTTGGGAACAAGATGGCGGCGGGACCTCTATTGTCGCCACTGTATGTAAAGGTTTATTTAGCCACTGTACTCGTGGGTGCTGATGTTCATGCACCGGCATTCATGAAGGGAGGGCGAACAGCCCGCCAGTGCAGTGTTGCCAGAATTGAAGGATTTCCTTCAATATGAAGAGTTTTGGTCTAAAATTTTGACTACTGAAGGATTGAAGGTTTTTATCAGAATTTGAAGGATTTTGAGGCAAATTGTATGTTTAACAAATAGTCCAATCATTTCACCAACAAATTTAATTTTTATTGAAACAAATTAATTAGTTGCATGAAAAAAAATACGAAACGCCAATTTTTGCTACGCCACTGCTCAGTTAGTGTGCTGTAGCCCAGGCTTTAGATTCAAAATTCAATAAAAGAATTTCGTTCATGTTAGTCAAGGATAATACACACTACTAGCATAGCCTATTCTCATGAGGCCTGTGTGGAACAAATCTGAAGCCTCTCATCACGCCAAATCACCGGTTGTTACGTAGGCACCACGCCTTTCGCGCCTTGACGTAGGCTGTTTGCACTACAGGTTATGATTCCGCGGTCTTTTGCTTTATAAATATTAATCAAATTTAAATATTTTCCATCATAAATTTAAATTCTAAACTACTACCATTAGTGCAAATAACTGACGACTTAGTTATAACGTCGGTAATAGTGACAAACCAATATGGCGATGATTACCAAAAACGAGGCCGATAAGCAATCCTTAGTAGTGTGTATTACCTTGCATATGAGTGTTTTTTTCTGGTAAATTATTTTGTTGTGCCGGCCACACGCCACTGTTTTACTGTTTTGAAGGATATGAAGGGTTTTAGCCAATCAGTTGAAGGAATGTCGTCAAAAAACTCTGGCAACACTGCGCCAGTGGCGAAAAAACTTCTCTAGAAGCTACGTCCAAAAACGTAAACCAGCATTCTTTAATTTACATTCGGACGAGTGTATGTGGGAATGGTAATACATTTCAAAAAACGTAATTCACACCTTTCCATATTCGTTTTCCAGCTGCGAGAACTAGTGTTGCTTGGTGCTTATGTAAGTTTTTTGCGGTGTCTGCTAAAATTGGAAAAAAAGGACGGCTATAAGGGTAAAGAGTAGAGTGTTTTCACAGCTATCAGAACAATACCCACTTCTACCACGTAAAAGCCCTCCTCCGTCATAGCCCACCATTAATCTATTTCCAAAAGGCGCCGCCGATCTAGAGATTTTCCCACGGTATCGAAAAACTTCCTAGGCTAAAGTGCCCCCAGCTATTAGACTAGCAGATTCACAAGCAAAATATTTATTATTGCAATAAAATTAATGCACCTATTCATGACCAATACCCACCTCACAGCTATCGGAGCAATACTCACCTCCACTACGTCAAAAAGCTTCTACTCTGAAGAGGTATCTCTTTCCATATCCCTTAACTTTCTTGAAAATTAAAGAATATTTCAACTATTCCTGGATTTGTATACGTCAATAGTATTCTAAACTCCATGAGATTAATTTTATTGCAATAATAACATTTTGCTTGTGAATCTGGTAGACCACTTACGTAGTAGAGGTGGGTATTGGTCCGATAGCCGGGGGCACTTGAGCCTGGGAAGTTTTTCGATACCGTGGAAAAATCTCTAGATCGGCGGCGCTTTTGATCTGAAATTTTGGGGATTTGACCCGGGCCAACCCCAAAATTGACGAATTCGAATACAAATGGAAGAATTGGTTGAATATTCTTTGGTTTTCAAGAAAGTGAAGATATATAATAAAGTGCCATCTCAGGGTAAGAGCCTTTTGAAATGGATCAATGGAGGACTTTACGGAAGAGGGTACAGTGAGGTGGGTAAAGTCCGCCTTACGAGTCTAGCACTACGACGTCTGAAGAGCAAGGGAACATAACGCCATTCATTTCAAGCTTTATGCTGCCTGTCATAGATGAACGTGCAACGTTTTTGAATATTACTTTTTCCTTATAAATGTAGGTGTATAATATAAATAAATATTAAGGTATTTCATATTGGAAGTCAAATAAGCAATATTGCAATTTTTTTATCCGCATTCTTTCCATAGTGCTAGACTCGTAAGGCGAACTTTAGTGGTATGATGGCTGTGCTGGAGGGGAGTTTTTACGTGGTAGAGGTGGGTATTGGTCTGATAGCTGATAGCTGTGAAAACACTCTACTGTAAAGTGTGGAAAATTCTCCTGCAGATATTCTTTTCCAAGCAGCATATACCGAACATCTGCGTTTTACGCTGTTCTTCATAAAAGATTTCTGATTTTCTTCATCTTCTTCTTCTATACAAAGTACCACCATGTTCTGATATCAACTGCCAGTACTGGATTTACTGTGCTGATTTTACTGTCAGGGTACTCTTGTGGTCATTCAGTACTGAATCGACTGAATCCAGTGTACCTACTGAAAATAATATCGGAACGGCGTCCAGTAAATTCAGTACTAACCAATGAACTATAGCTAAAAACTGGAATGTGCACACATTGCCATATCTGCCAAAAAAATGAAGCCATGAAAGACAGATGCCACAAGGGGGAATGTTGTTTTTTTCTGTTGTTCGCCGACATATGACGTTTTCGAAAGTTTTGTCATATTTCCCTTCACAGGTTTCATCAATTGGAATACGTGTTGGAAACAATTTTCGCCATTTAACATAATGAGTGCGACAAAAACAGGTATCCCCTTTGCAGCAGCCGCAGTAGGCTTCACGTTCGTCCTTATGTGTTCGCATTCCAGTTTTTGGTTATAGTTCATTGGTACTAACAGAGTTAATATCGGAACATAACCTATATAAGGCTATGGTCCAAATATAACCAAACGTTAACCATTAGCTCTGTTCCAACAGACATGAGAACCGTTCCAGAACCAATAATTTCCAGTTGCCCACCTATTTTTCAATAAGTTGAACGTTTTTCCTAATTGACAAATGGATTGATCGACTGGAAATTACCGTTCTAGAAAGGTTTTCATGTCTGCTGGAACAGAGCTAAAGTAACCGAATCGGTCAACAGATGTTTACTGAAAATTCCGGTTACTTTGGGGAACGCAAATATGGAAATAAAACATAATTGACAGAAGCTACAGATAAAACCTTGATAAAACCAACAGAACCGACATCCGATGGCCGATAACTATTTAGACATTTGGTTAACCAGATTTTAGGAGCCCGCGGTACAAAATTAACCAGTTTTTCAGGAACTAGAGAGGATTATCAGTTTTTAAGTCTATGCTCGTGGGTGCTTTGCACCCAGTGTTCAGGCCTCGTGGGTGCTCGAGCTCCCGAGCACCCACGTAGTCGGCGCCCCTGATGTAGATCGATACTGGCAGGTACTGAGGTCCCATTCGGGAGGGCTCTTAGCTATTGTTGTTATTTTGAGCCAATGTCTCTAGAATGATCCTTCAATTTGTTTGCTAGGATATTCGCTCATCAGGCTGAATACCAAAAATTAAAATCCCAGCACAAAAGACATTTTTTAACTTTTTAATTTACTTTTTATCTGCGTTGTTCACAATATATGACAATGCAAAAAATAATACATAAATAAATCTAATTTTCAAAAACAAAATAACATTTTTCTATGGAGTATTGAATATTATGCATAGTATGCATCCATTTTCTATTGATCAATGTGAATGATTACTCATACAGTGAGTTTTTTTTCATTACTTCATTGTTTTCAACCAATGAAAATAGCCTGGTCTCATTACTCCATTATTTAAGAGCCAATCAGAAAATTTGACAAGTTGACAACATACTTCAACCTTTCAATAGGTCATTTTGACAACTGATTTGGACAAGACTTGTGCTAACCAAACCTTACTTTATCCTCCAGCTGTCAGAATTGTCAACAAATTTTGTTACGAAAATTAAATAAAAAATCGCATAACTCGTGCCTATTATCTAATAATCATAGAAAAAGTATAGTATTCTACTCGTGAGTGCTATTACTCACTCGGACGACTTCATCCTTCGTGAGTAATAGCCATCATTACCCGCTCGTTGAATAATATACTATTATTTAACTGACCTGTGAATGCTTCTTTTGACAGGCAAACTAATCACAAATTGGATTGAACAATCAATTTAATACAAAATGAAAATTAAATAATGAACAATGGCGGACAAGCGGCTTTTTCCCTGGTCTCTCATTTTCTATCTACCCTTTGGTACCTACGATTTTCCTGTGGCGCGCCACTGTTCTCAAAAACTTTACAGCGCATACATGGTTGCAACATTTACCATTTGCTTTTCTAAAAAAAACGTTTTTAAAAGTTAAGATTTGAAGAAATAATATTTTAAATAGGCAGTTTTCCTCAATACTTCTGGAGACTCAACATAACATCAGAAATCATTTTCAACCAATCAGTTGCAAAAAAATAATCACATGTTTACTGTCACTTTATCGAACTCAAATACAAAAGGGTGAAAAATTCAAATTATGAATGGAACATGCGCAGATCCATTTTCATATAAAAGTTAAACCAACTTTCCTAATCTTATGTTATTAATGCTAGTTATGTAAAAAAGAGTTATTTCAATTAAATAAATCATGCCATTGTTTCAAAAACCTGTTCATTTAAATTAAATAATTATTTGTTTAGTCAAAGTAAAAGATCCAGCAAGAAGTTAAATAAATATTGACAAATTTTCAAATAAACATTTGTTTCGCATATAGGGAACAAATATGTTGTTGAATAAACTCCATTTTTATTACAATTAAATTAAAAAAAAATTTCAGTGCATAAAACATTGAAAAATGCGGCAACTATGCGTAATAAAAATGACATTTGATTTAAAATGAAAGAAAGTTTATTGGATATTGGTTAATCTTGCTTTGTTTGGAATGATCTTGATTATAGAGGAGTTGAGGTTTTTAATTTTGAAAAATATTTAGTCAAATACCCATAGTGCATCAAAATCCGTACAAAGATCGCTTTCTTTCCTAATAGACGGATTTTTGGTTCAATTCACAAACTACCTATATATATTCAAAATTTTGAAGATTTTTTTCATCAACCCCTAAGTGCCATACTGCACCTCCGTACTAATTTTGAAACCAAATAATGGACACAAGACTTTTATAAAGAAAAAGAAAATAGTGCCAGAATTAATAAAAAAAACTGTATATTTATTGTTTCTTAATTGCACTAATGGTATCTTGAACTGCTTTTCGCAACATAGCCAGGCCTTCCTTATTAACTTCGTACCAAGGTTGCTGCTGCATTCTTTCAATATAGGCCTTAAGATGCGGGAATTCAGCGTAGGGAGTGAAAGCATCCCAAGACGTAACCGTCGTGATTATACTAAAATCAGCTATGGTTAAATTATCACCGGCAATGTATTGGGTTTGACTCTTTTCCAAAATCGCGTCCACGATTTTAAAGGCTTCTTTGAGTTCCTTGATTTTTTCTTCAGTCGGGAGGATTTTTTGGAACAAGAGCGGCTTCTGCAATTATATATTATCTATTTATTTCAGTGATTAATAAAAAAATGAATTAAACTTACAGATATGGCCAATCCTTTAATAAGAAGAACACTAGAGTCTAAATGTAGCTTGTGGTCAATGACTGCTCTAAGCCTGCTGTCGTTTTTTGGATATAGAGAATCGTCTTTGCCATATTTATTCACCAAATAACCCATGATGGCGTGACTGTCAGCCAAGACAAATCCATCGTCGTCTAAAAGAGGAACAGTGTGTTGGGGATTTTTCTATTTAAAAATAAGTTTATTATTAAATATCTATGCAAATAAATTTTAATTTCTTACCTCTAAATATTCGCCTTTTAAGTGGTCCAAATTGAACAAATCAACAGGGATCAATTCGAGTTCGAGGTCTAAAACTTTGGCACACAGCAAAACGGCTCTAACTGAGGGACTACCTGGGATACTGTATAATTTTGGAGCCATTTTTACTAAGACTTGTTTGCGAGCGAACGATCAAATAATAATGTGTTTCGAACCTTGAAACTCTGAGTTTTATTAATTTGTTATTAGTTATTATCTCATCAAGGTTTTATATAACAGTAATTTTTAGCAAAGGATGACCCAAACTTTTGTCTATTGGATGAGATGGCAGTTTTTAGTCATTAGATGAGATAGTAATTATTTGCTTTTGATTCAACAAATATTTGATTTATTAAGTAAGTGCCTGCAATTATTTAGTAAATTTGTAGATTATATTTTAGTAACTTTTATCTACAATTACATAATTTAAAACATATACTTAAGATGCAATTTATTTGTGAATAGTCAAACCGTAGGTAAGTGCAAATGAGCTGTAATTTTCAGGGATTGTAGTCCTTTGAAAATGATGGAATTCAGTGAAAGATTCAGGTTTCTATCTATAATAGAAAAAAAGTTATGACTTTTCAAAGTTTTCCAAAAAAATCATAAGGGGGGTACCTTCTTACTAAAACGATGAAATTTCAATTTTTTTTTTGTCGAGATTTTGTATCCTAATGGTCAATCAACATACCCCAAACTCCATACACTAAATTATTTTCAGATTTGAAGCCGAAATCTATGAAAAAAGGCACTCAGAAAAATTGAAAAATCGATAAATCACCCCAAATTGCTTAGCACGATTTTATCTCAGGAACTACAAGTGCAAATGAGCTGAAATTTTCAGGAATTGTAGCCCTTTGAAAAAGATAAAATTCAGTGAAAGATTCAGGTTTCTATCCATAATAGAAAAAAAGTTATGACTTTTCAAAGTTTTCCAAAAAAAATCATAAGGGGGGTACCTTCTTACTAAAACGATGAAATTTCAATTTTTTTTTTGTCGAGATTTTGTATCCTAATGGTCAATCAACATACCCCAAACTCCATACACTAAATTATTTTCAGATTTGAAGCCGAAATCTATGAAAAAAGGCACTCAGAAAAATTGAAAAATCGATAAATCACCCCAAATTGCTTAGCACGATTTTATCTCAGGAACTACAAGTGCAAATGAGCTGAAATTTTCAGGAATTGTAGCCCTTTGAAAAAGATAAAATTCAGTGAAAGATTCAGGTTTCTATCCATAATAGAAAAAAAGTTATGACTTTTCAAAGTTTTCCAAAAAAAATCATAAGGGGGGTACCTTCTTACTAAAACGATGAAATTTCAATTTTTTTTTTGTCGAGATTTTGTATCCTAATGGTCAATCAACATACCCCAAACTCCATACACTAAATTATTTTCAGATTTGAAGCCGAAATCTATGAAAAAAGGCACTCAGAAAAATTGAAAAATCGATAAATCACCCCAAATTGCTTAGCACGATTTTATCTCAGGAACTACAAGTGCAAATGAGCTGAAATTTTCAGGAATTGTAGCCCTTTGAAAAAGATAAAATTCAGTGAAAGATTCAGGTTTCTATCCATAATAGAAAAAAAGTTATGACTTTTCAAAGTTTTCCAAAAAAATCATAAGGGGGGTACCTTCTTACTAAAACGATGAAATTTCAATTTTTTTTTTGTCGAGATTTTGTATCCTTATGGTCAATCAACATACCCCAAACTCCATACACTAAATTATTTTCAGATTTGAAGCCGAAATCTATGAAAAAAGGCACTCAGAAAAATTGAAAAATCTATAAATCACACCAAATTGCTTAATACGATTTTATCTCAGGAACTATAAGGGCAAATGAGCTGAAATTTTCAGGGATTGTAGAACTTTGAAAATGATGGAATTCAGTGAAAGATTCAGGTTTCTATCTATAATAGAAAAAAAGTTATGACTTTTCAAAGTTTTCCAAAAAAATCATAAGGGGGGTACCTTCTTACTAAAACGATGAAATTTCAATTTTTTTTTTGGCGAGATTTTGTATCCTAATGGTCAATCAACATACCCCAAACTCCATACACTAAATTATTTTCAGATTTGAAGCCGAAATCTATGAAAAAAGGCACTCAGAAAAATTGAAAAATCGATAAATCACCCCAAATTGCTTAGCACGATTTTATCTCAGGAACTACAAGTGCAAATGAGCTGAAATTTTCAGGAATTGTAGCCCTTTGAAAAAGATAAAATTCAGTGAAAGATTCAGGTTTCTATCCATAATAGAAAAAAAGTTATGACTTTTCAAAGTTTTCCAAAAAAATCATAAGGGGGGTACCTTCTTACTAAAACGATGAAATTTCAATTTTTTTTTTGTCGAGATTTTGTATCCTAATGGTCAATCAACATACCCCAAACTCCATACACTAAATTATTTTCAGATTTGAAGCCGAAATCTATGAAAAAAGGCACTCAGAAAAATTGAAAAATCGGTAAATCACACCAAATTGTTTAATACGATTTTATCTCAGGAACTATAAGGGCAAATGAGCTGAAATTTTCAGGAATTGTAGAACTTTGAAAATGATGGAATTCAGTGAAGGATTCAGGTTTCTATCTATAATAGAAAAAAAGTTATGACTTTTCAAAGTTTTCCAAAAAAATCATAAGGGGGGTACCTTCTTACTAAAACGATGAAATTTCAATTTTTTTTTTGGCGAGATTTTGTATCCTAATGGTCAATCAACATACCCCAAACTCCATACACAAAATTATTCTCAGATTTGAAGCCGAAATCTATGAAAAAAGGCACTCAGAAAAATTGAAAAATCGATAAATCACCCCAAATTGCTTAGCACGATTTTATCTCAGGAACTACAAGTGCAAATGAGCTGAAATTTTCAGGAATTGTAGCCCTTTGAAAAAGATAAAATTCAGTGAAAGATTCAGGTTTCTATCTATAATAGAAAAAAAGTTATGACTTTTCAAAGTTTTCCAAAAAAATCATAAGGGGGGTACCTTCTTACTAAAACGATGAAATTTCAATTTTTTTTTTGTCGAGATTTTGTATCCTAATGGTCAATCAACATACCCCAAACTCCATACACAAAATTATTCTCAGATTTGAAGCCGAAATCTATGAAAAAAGGCACTCAGAAAAATTGAAAAATCGATAAATCACCCCAAATTGCTTAACACCATTTTATCTCAGGAACTACAAGTGCAAATGAGCTGAAATTTTCAGGAATTGTAGCCCTTTGAAAAAGATAAAATTCAGTGAAAGATTCAGGTTTCTATCTATAATAGAAAAAAAGTTATGACTTTTCAAAGTTTTCCAAAAAAATCATAAGGGGGGTACCTTCTTACTAAAACGATGAAATTTCAATTTTTTTTTTGGCGAGATTTTGTATCCTAATGGTCAATCAACATACCCCAAACTCCATACACAAAATTATTCTCAGATTTGAAGCCGAAATCTATGAAAAAAGGCACTCAGAAAAATTGAAAAATCGATAAATCACCCCAAATTGCTTAACACCATTTCATCTCAGGAACTACAAGTGCAAATGAGCTGAAATTTTCAGGAATTGTAGCCCTTTGAAAAAGATAAAATTCAGTGAAAGATTCAGGTTTCTATCTATAATAGAAAAAAAGTTATGACTTTTCAAAGTTTTCCAAAAAAATCATAAGGGGGGTACCTTCTTACTAAAACGATGAAATTTCAATTTTTTTTTTGTCGAGATTTTGTATCCTAATGGTCAATCAACATACCCCAAACTCCATACACTAAATTATTTTCAGATTTGAAGCCGAAATCTATGAAAAAAGGCACTCAGAAAAATTGAAAAATCGATAAATCACCCCAAATTGCTTAGCACGATTTTATCTCAGGAACTACAAGTGCAAATGAGCTGAAATTTTCAGGAATTGTAGCCCTTTGAAAAAGATAAAATTCAGTGAAAGATTCAGGTTTCTATCCATAATAGAAAAAAAGTTATGACTTTTCAAAGTTTTCCAAAAAAATCATAAGGGGGGTACCTTCTTACTAAAACGATGAAATTTCAATTTTTTTTTTGTCGAGATTTTGTATCCTAATGGTCAATCAACATACCCCAAACTCCATACACTAAATTATTTTCAGATTTGAAGCCGAAATCTATGAAAAAAGGCACTCAGAAAAATTGAAAAATCGATAAATCACCCCAAATTGCTTAGCACGATTTTATCTCAGGAACTACAAGTGCAAATGAGCTGAAATTTTCAGGAATTGTAGCCCTTTGAAAAAGATAAAATTCAGTGAAAGATTCAGGTTTCTATCTATAATAGAAAAAAAGTTATGACTTTTCAAAGTTTTCCAAAAAAAATCATAAGGGGGGTACCTTCTTACTAAAACGATGAAATTTCAATTTTTTTTTTGTCGAGATTTTGTATCCTAATGGTCAATCAACATACCCCAAACTCCATACACTAAATTATTTTCAGATTTGAAGCCGAAATCTATGAAAAAAGGCACTCAGAAAAATTGAAAAATCGATAAATCACCCCAAATTGCTTAGCACGATTTTATCTCAGGAACTACAAGTGCAAATGAGCTGAAATTTTCAGGAATTGTAGCCCTTTGAAAAAGATAAAATTCAGTGAAAGATTCAGGTTTCTATCCATAATAGAAAAAAAGTTATGACTTTTCAAAGTTTTCCAAAAAAATCATAAGGGGGGTACCTTCTTACTAAAACGATGAAATTTCAATTTTTTTTTTGTCGAGATTTTGTATCCTAATGGTCAATCAACATACCCCAAACTCCATACACTAAATTATTTTCAGATTTGAAGCCGAAATCTATGAAAAAAGGCACTCAGAAAAATTGAAAAATCGGTAAATCACACCAAATTGTTTAATACGATTTTATCTCAGGAACTATAAGGGCAAATGAGCTGAAATTTTCAGGAATTGTAGAACTTTGAAAATGATGGAATTCAGTGAAGGATTCAGGTTTCTATCTATAATAGAAAAAAAGTTATGACTTTTCAAAGTTTTCCAAAAAAATCATAAGGGGGGTACCTTCTTACTAAAACGATGAAATTTCAATTTTTTTTTTGTCGAGATTTTGTATCCTAATGGTCAATCAACATACCCCAAACTCCATACACTAAATTATTTTCAGATTTGAAGCCGAAATCTATGAAAAAAGGCACTCAGAAAAATTGAAAAATCGATAAATCACCCCAAATTGCTTAGCACGATTTTATCTCAGGAACTACAAGTGCAAATGAGCTGAAATTTTCAGG